CAGACGATGTCCCATGACATATCACACATTTTCAGGGCCTGATTTCTCATCTTCTCTTCAGTTATTTCACTTACATCATTACCGTCGGGCTAAATGTTTAATCTATTGCCTCGTGAATATATAGTTTTGATGAAAAATGCAGCGATAAAAAAAAAGGAATCCATCACTAATTGTAAACAAAATAGACGCCATTGTGGTTTCAGCTGCATACACCGCGGTATGTTCGGCGTTTCAAGAGGGAACAAATGCCGTCCATGCTATCATTCCAGGGGGTTTTCAATTTGAAAGTGTGGTTTCTTAGATAGTTCATTAACCCCTGTCCTGTGTATTTACAAACAAAAGAATTTAGTTATCAGAATCGGTTTCATATGCCTTTTGAATGGTGTAAAAGGCCATCACTTTTCTCCAAAGGGGGGGGGGGGGGAAAGCACATAATATAATTATGTATATATATTTTTTCTCCCGGAAATTGGAAATTATGACGATCGACATTTCGTTCAGTAGGAGGAGGAGTAAGGTCACTTTTTTTGGTCACCCTGTATTTTATATTTTTGATTTAAAAAAAACTGAGAGGGGGGGGGGGTTCCTCCAAAACACACACATAACAAAAAATTGAGGGAGGGGGTCAAAAACACCTCCCCCCCCCCCCCCCCCCCATCCCCTGCGTACGCGCCTGCACTAAACTCATTATAATTTGAGAAATAATAGCATTGCAATTATGTTGGATGTCGTCTGCTTGGGCAGGATTGGTTCATAATGTGACGTCATTAAAACATCGTGTGTTTTTTTCTGGCAAATCTCTCGTATATCCGAGATGCTATGGAGGTGGTTTTATTTGTATTTTCATAAATCGCCCGATTATTGATATATAGTTGACCCAAAACTGGTACGAAGGTCATCTATTAGCGGACCAGTTTCTGGTAATACGATATTTGCCATATTTGTGATTTTCTTTGAATGGGCGCTCTAAAGGACCTTGGCTGTATCCATCACCTATATAGATACTGCATACATGCCAACTGTTCAGATTAAAGAGGAACATTCCTCTTTTTGGGAGAAGATAATTATCATTTTAATGCAGGTGTTCCTCTTCCTGTACAAATTTGTCTGTAGTATTGAATAGGAGAGTTAGGATTGTTCCTCTTTTTTTTGAAAATAGCATAATTTGTACAGATTTCTGATTTTCAAATGTTGGCATGTATGGATACTGTATTAAAAGGGAGAGCAGCTAAGAGTATGGGCTAAGGATAAAGAAACAATGTTCTTTATATATAATCAAGAGCCATGCTTATTGAAATGACAAGTCTTCTAATTGTTTTTATTGACTTCCAGTACAAGGCTTTCTCACCCATAATTTTAATTTTGAAACGAAATCTTTCAAATGTTTGTTTACATTTATATTGCCCATTATTATTAATTTGAAATGCATTCTTTCAAAATGTTTATTTTTAATTTTCCGCATGCTTTATTTTTGTCCGGTGTGTCCTTTTTTGCCCTGCATTTCCCAATGATTTGGTTTTGTCCTTAGCTTTTACGTCTTCTTTGCTGTGCAACTTTGATCAATAAAAAAATTCCTAAAATTTCTTGCAATTTCAGTATTCTTCCTTAGTTGTATTCTTATATAATTAAATCTTTCTTCAAAAACGCCATATGGTATGTGCTTGAATTTCGTTACTTTGTATACTATCTGAAGAAATCCTTTATGGACTTCGAATCATGTAGCATTTCACATTTATCGATTTTGTTTTTAAGTATACTGCAAAACCTCATTGATCGAATTCTTTAATTCTATTCGTCCCTCTTTCGACCCCCCCCCCCCCCCCCCCACCCAATCGTTTTATCTTGTTCTACTTTCCCTTGTCTTCCTATACCCCTTCTCTCTCTATGCCAAATACTTACTCTACAATGTACATGTATCAGAGTTAGTCCTCTAATACACTACCCCCCCCCCCCCCCCCCCTCCCTCTCACTGGCCCCATCCTACCTGCAGCATGTGTTGGGCTTCTTGATTTCGCATCCTTTAGCGAGAGAAAAAAAGGAATACTGGTAGAAAGTATCCGAGACATGGTTGCACAATAGTAGATGAGATAACTATTGTCTGAGCATCCAAATAGCAATAATGTAGATGAAAATAATGCGCTTCTTACATAGCAACCTTGAGAGAGAATAATTTGTGTAAGTGAGGGTGGAGACAGAGAGTTGGTTGGCGGGAGAGAGTGCAAAAAGAAAAGTTAGGAGTCGGTATCTTCTATTTTTTTTCTTCACAAGTTTCAATTTAAGAAATAAAGTATCATACGAGACGAAATATAGACAAACCCAAATCAAATCAAATTAAAAGGAAACAACTTAAAACGTGAATTGTTGGTATAGAACAAACACATTTTACACGAGTAGGCCTATACATTTTCATCATTGTAAAACAAACAAGTACACTTACTCAAACAAAACAAAATTGTCAGTCAAAGTACTTGATGAGCAGCAAAATTTACTGAATGGACTGCCACCAGGGGGGCTCTTTTGACGTTTATCACCTGTTTTCTGAATAATTCATATCATTACACTCCATCTTTTCGTCTGGTTTTTGCACGAAAGCATTGTGGGATAGTTTGAAATACATTTTTTTAACGGTTGATTTTTAAGAAATACTGTCAATAATCTCTTGGACTTAGCATTCTGTTACACTTTTAAAAGGGAAAGTCTACCCTGATAAAGTAGTAAAAAAAAAGTGAGGGAAACAGGTTAGTGAAAGTTTGAGCAAAAAACGATGAAACATCAGAAAGTTATGAATATTTAAAGGTGCGATCAATCAAACACGAATCAGTAACTATGTGACGTATCTTGCGATGTCCCCCCCCCCCCCCCCCCCCATTTACCCTGAACGAAGAAATTCAACAATGTCCTTTGTTTGATTTGATTTGATTCGGTTTATTGAAATAAAAGAACATGCAGCGGGAAGCTGAAATTATTCAATTTACAAAGTCAATATACAATACATTAAACGATCAAAATATGAATGACTAAAACGTACGACTATAAATCATGCATAATGAAACAAAATGAGAATCAAATATTTCATCAAAATCTAAATATATTACGAATATTACATCAAAATCTAAATATATTACAAATATTACGTTAAATTTTAAATATATTACAAATATCAAAAACATTAAACACCTTCTGTGTCATCAAAAAGTATAGAGATAGAGAAAGAGAAAGAGAAAGACGGAACTAGAAAGAGGAATAGAAGGAAGAAGAAAAAAGAAAGAAACGTTGATCAGGGAATATACGAAAGATTGGAGGAGAGGCATAGAGAGGGACAGAGTAGAACAAAACAAATTTCCGCCAAGTGCACCTCAAGTTGAAATATGATTTAAAAAGTAAAAATAACAGATTTAAAAAAGAAAGAAAAACAAAATGTTTGACAATATAATATATCAACGTCATTTTAAAAAATTCTTTAAAGTCAAAAGAGTAAAGTTATGCCAATCCCGCAACACATCAAAGTTCAATGCAAATAATTTTGTAACTCAAAAGGATTATATGTAGATTTGAACAAACAAAGAGAAGTCATATTCACTGTTACTATCAAAGCATCAAAGTACATGTAAGAAAAAGAAAGAAAAAATAAGAAGAAAAAACCAAATTATGTATTGTGTGAAGAAAGAAAGAAGAAAGAAAAAAAAAGAGAGAAAAGGTGATAATAGCTGAGGAAAGAGGTAAGAAAAGAGAAAGAAAAAAAGAAAAAGATGAGAACCCAAGAGAAGAGGAAGGAGAAGGGGTTTCACACAAAGCATGAGTAACTTGTTTTTATACAACCCCTGTATGAAACAATATATTCTGTTATCAATGACTAAGGAAATCACTTTCATGAAATTTTCTGTACATACCAAATCGGAGAGGAGCTCGCAAAATAAGTCACAGCGTTGCAAATTTATGTTTCACTGATGACCACATCAAAAATTCATAACATTTCTATTTTTTATCGGATATTGATCAAACTTTCACCAATCATATTATATTACAATAATATCAGGGTAGTGGAATTCCCCTGTAGCTACCACGAGGACAAAATGAGATAATTCTCCTTATAGCCATATATATCTAAAATGTGACCTCCTTGTAGTTTATATTGCACTTTTTCCCTTCTACTTTTAAAATAACCAATATTCGGCCAATACAACTACCAGCTACATTTTCGGACAAAAATACTTACCTCGATCTTCTTTGGGGGTATAGGCCTAACATTCTGTTTACTGACAAAATTACATTTTTACCACGAAAATATCAAAAGCTTAGCCGGGAAACTAGACGTTCTGGCGAAAGACGTGGAGAAACTTACATGTATTAAATGAAAAGATCGGATATAACCACTAATAATGCACTTTCAATCAGTGGCGGGTGCAGGGGAGAGAAGATTGAAGGGGGTCCTATGATTTTAGCATGATTACATGCACACATCAAGAAAATGTGCCCGCGCGTTCATCCTCCAGGTAGGCTAAGTTTTGATGAAATGGCACCCCTAAAAATCGAATGACCCCCTCTCTTCTTTTGTGAAGAGGGAAGAGGGAGGGGGGGGGGGTAAGTCAGATTTCTCTTGTACTGAACAGTAATATTTCTTGCCCTCGCGCTGTACGCCGCCTTGCAGCAGGTGAATCCCCCAAAATGTATGAGTCATGTAAAATAGTCCCATCTTGAATTCGTTAATTCATCTTTAAATTGTTTATTTAATCTTACTCGTTATCTCCAAATAGGTAAAAAGTTAACAAAAAGGCATCCTTGGTGGTCAGATTCGTGGAAATGTTTTGTAGAAATATGATAAAGAGGCTGTAGGTAGCTTTAATATAGTTCCATAATTAGCATAATATCCTTATAGAACCAATGAAATGACAGCATCATGACGTCACCCAAAGGAAAGGGGAAACGCGCGTACAGGCGAGGACTGTGCAAAGTGAATGGAAATCTCGGCGGATGAATTTTGTAAGCCCGCAACCTGTGAAAGGGCTCGCAGTTGTTTGCTCGATATCTGTGACGCCGAACGTGTAGTTTGACGTGATGCTACGTAGACAACAAGGTGTCCATTCCCATCGCTTCTAGCCTGTGACGAGAAATACGTAACCGGGTAAGTACGCCGAAAACCAAAACACAAAAGCGTTGACATTCGTCACATGTAGAAGGGTAGACGTCTTACCCCTTGGTGGTGGTTGGTGCTGATAATTTTGTTGATTACTGCAAAATATATAGTTGTTAATTTGTACTGGATATTGTTTCCGTGAATGTTTCCTTGTGGGGTATGCAATGGGAGGTTGTTGTCGTTGCTTGTACATTGTAGACAATGGCTTCGTGAATTGAGCGGTTTCCTTGCTGCGTGTAGCAGCCGATGACTGCTGTAGTAAAGAGGCGTGTGTACTGTGTGCCTGTAGTGTGGTACTGTAGCCCTTGCCCTGTACGGGGCGCGGAAGTGGTGTGTAGAGACCAGAATAAGAGAGTTGTCCACAAATGTAAAGTATTTGCTCTTAATAACAGGGCTTCAATTTCCCATATCCACTAGGAACACAAGAATAATCAGTTGTCATCACGTAGCTTTTTCTTACCTTTTTTGTTTTCAAAATTCCCTGCCCTGTTGTTGAGTTGACCACAACTTTGAATTTGATAAAATTGTTAAAAAGAGTCGACCGGCCATCACACTACACCCCTATGAAAAAAATTGTCATTCATTCTCTTACATTACCCAGGTGGAACCTAAACTACTTGTGCTGCAGTCATGTATGACAGCAAAACGTCTGTTTTCATTTCTTATTTCAGTAAAGAAAAATAAAAAATAGATTTGTGTTTAAAAAAAAGAGGCGACATCCCCCTCCGGCCTCCCCCACACAAAAAAAATGAAATTGATATTAACAAACGATGATTTCTTGATGATGTCTGTTCATATTGGTGTATAGATCATATGATACAATTTATTGATATTTCATTGTCTTGTAAAGAAACGTCTAGAAATATGTACATCCATAATTTTCATCTCTGTTAACTAAAAATTTGTTACTAACTGCTTTGCAGTATAGCATAACTCACTCGCGCTACAATTAATGCAAGGATGCAATTTGCTTGAAGTTACCAATGAATACCTATAATAGAGTGAGACACGTGCAATGATGCAAATCATTTTGGACAGGTAAATTTCCATATATATATATATATATATATATATAGATATAGACTCTAGAAAAAAACCTGCAATTGGAGCGGCATATTTTTGTCTATATGTCTCTTTTTAAGACACTGCAAAAGCAAATGTAGACTGCTTATTTTTCAGGTCCCGGTTTAAACTAAAGCTCTTCTGTGATAATAAGAACACATGCAATGCCCTTCGACTTCATCTCTGTCTGGGCACAGTAGGCCTAGCGTTACAGGATCACCTGGGGCAATAGTTTTAACCGTGTTACCATACCCCTGAAAGCACTCTATATTTTGTATGTACATGTATCAGTAAATTTCTTTGATGCATGTTCATCTGGGTCTTTACTTCTCAACTCATTAATATTGTGAGGTGGATACAAGGTTTCATTACCACAGAAGATGACATAGGAATTAGGATCTTCATGTAGCTTACAGTGTAGTACATACATTTGTAGACAGAATTACCCGTCTGATATGGGTCCATTCTTTCATAAAACTGACATTCCCTGTATAGGACCCAGATGCAATCTCAGCGGAACAACCGTCGATATCAGAGACTGAAGCTTTCGGTCTAATACATTTGTAGCTGTTGATAATTTGGAAGTTGTGGTGAATGTTGTCAGTTATGGTTATTGAGCTCTGGTGCATGGGAATCGTATTGTGAGAAAAAAATTGCTATGATTAATCATTAATTATTGATTGTTTATCCTGCAGTAGATTAGTAATTGTTTGAAAGTTTCAACCATTGAAATGGAAACATTGCAGACGCACACAAACATACGGGGCATCATCTTCGATAAAAACCACAACTCCCATTTGCAAATAATGACCTGCTACGTACACATATAGTGTCAGGCCTATATATCTCCTTATCTTTCTATACCCGTACTCATTTCTTGGCCATTATGCATTTTTTGCCAAATTTTTGGGGCACTTGTTATTTATTTGTAATTTCTTACGTTCAGTGCAAGTTTTGTTGGATTCTGTTAAAATTTATTTTCTATATTTTTACCAAAACTCGATCTTATATGAACAGAAATGACTGTAGGCTTCTTCTATTTCTTACAATGGACAAATATAACATACTACATGTAATGTATATTTTTATCACTCTAGATTTGAAATCTCACTTCACAATACATGTAGGGGTCTTCTAGGTACCGGTAATTCAGAGTTGTGTACGGTGATGCTGAGAGACATTAAAGGGACTTGGTAACTTTCATCAGATGAGAGAAAAAGGTTGCTAATGAATATGGTATTATTACCATGAAAGTCAATTGATTGGTTTTTCAATTTGTCTCCAGAGAAAAAATAAACTTCCATTAATGTTACAAAAATTGTTTAGTTTACAAATATGAAATAATTAGCCCTGTTGTCAGCCTCATCTTACTTTATCTGATCTTTAGAACCAATTTACATCGTACTACTTGTACAGCAAGTATTTATTTACCATATTTGAACATAAATGAAGCATGAAATGGAATTTTAACTTTTCTTGAATGTTCATCTTAGGATACCGGTTTACTTTTTTTTTGTGGGGGGGGGGGGGGGGAGTTGATTCAATATGTTCATGATCTTCTTTAAGGACTTGTAAATTTCTTCCCTGTTTTAGTTTTTCTTCTTTTTATGGGGGGGGGGGGGGGGAGTTAATTGGGAGCTGAAAGGAATCTGAGAATGTGATAAAAATCTGTGCAGGAACAGTATACAGTGTATTATGGGAATGGTCATTCCAAATGTTCAGACAAGGCATTTCAAATGGCCGCATTGGAAACTTTCAGACGAGTGAGTAATGCCCGGTTTCTAGAAATAAACGCATCTCAAAGGAAACCATTCATTACTAGCAAGGGAAGAGGCATGCAGGAAAAGCAGGTCTCTGGAAGCCACTTACTCATAAACTTCTCAGGCTGAGTTGGATAGATGTGTTCACATGGAGGGGACAATTCAAGTTAATCTTCATTTTATGTTTCGACGTACAGTGCAAGTTCAGCAACAAGTTGTTTAGGCTTATTCACACAATTTCATTTTGATGAAAATAATGGTTTGTGTGTGTGTGTGTGTTGTTAGCTAATTCTGAGTTTTTAATTTTGTTGTTGTTGTGTAGTGTGCATGTGGAAATTCTCGCTGCTCTACATGCAAGCAAACCTAGCAAGGAGAGTCATGTGGCCGAAAAAATGAATCATTCACAGTTGCAAATCTCTGTTGCACACAAAAGATATTGATCTCTCCTTTCTAGTAGATTCAACAGCGCCTTGTCCCTAATTGGGTCAAATGAAGAATACAAAAAATATTCAATCAAAAAAGAAATTGCATCTGATCTGATGACGTTGATGTGCCAGTATATAAACCAACCGCTTTATTATTATTGTCAACTCAGTACAGTGAAAAAAAATACACAGGGGCTGGGGGCGAATTAGCCCCCAAAATGTCGAAAAAGAGCCCCCAAAAATTTGAATAGAATTCAATGCAAAACAAATTAAAGAGTGTTATATTCATGCAAGAAAGCTTGAAAAGTAGCTCCCAAAATTGTTAAAGTATTTTTTTTCCCTGACACGGTGCATGTATCCCTCTAGTCAAGATAGCGTCATGTGAACACGGTCTAACCGAGTCCATTCATACTGTGCAGTCTGTGCCAAGTCCCCAGTATAGTGAGTGATGTCACCACTTTTAGAACGACAATTTTAGCCACCCATCCAGGGTTCAAGTCAACCGGGCAGGACAGTCATACCCAAACCGTCTACTGACGATTTTAGTCACAGATCTACAGCCGATGGATATTGTAGTACTTTACATTACACAAAATATACATGATGTACATGTAACTCGATCTGAATGGAGCGATCAATCCACCAATGTCATAATCTGTGTGAAATCAGAAAAATGAGAAAAACATGATGCTATTTATTAAGAATTGGACAATTCATTTGTTTGAAGCCAAAGGGATGTTAACTTGTATGCTTATAAAGACAAATAGAGAGGAGAAGCAATATTTCACTCAATTCAGATTCTCGCTAGAACTTAAAGATGTCTCCCTGGCGTCCCTGCAAAATTTCTAATTCAGTGGAGTGCAGAGAATTTGTTTTTTTTAATTTTCTCTTCTAAATCTGATAACTGAACTCTGAAACTACCTTTGGAGTTTGCATGCATTTTTACAATAAAACATTAAGAGCTAAACTTAAAAATATATGAGATAATAAAAGTTGCTTTGATAAGAAAGAGGTGTGTCCTTGACTACATGTACGTGGCCAGACCTACATGTGTAGCTGACAAAATATGTATGTAAAATGAAAGAATAGCTTTTTTTTAGATATTAAAAGTGAAAAGCATTAAAAAGTACCACTCAAAGGAGATTCTGAATAATGCAATTTGATATTCTGAGAATCCAACTTGATGATTGTGATACAAATGTTTACCTAGTCTAGCTAATCCTGTGACTGACGTCATCTGTGCTTCACACTGCTTCTCCCAATGCAGATCTGTGTGTCTGTTTTCCAGACCCTAATTGAGAAAATGAAATTAAAATGATTTTAGTTTCCACAGTGTTCTCCTTTTCTGTCACAAAAATTAATTGAGGTGAAATTAGCCTAAAAGTGTAGTGCCTTTTATTTCTTTCCACAAAAAAAAGAAGATGAAGGGTGTTTCTGACAGGTGGTCAAATGAACAAAACCTGAAAAGTGGCTGCAAGTAGAGACTAGGCGCAGTAAAGTGCGTAGCAGCTGGTGTCGTAGGTGACGTCATCATTGTGGTGATTAGCCGAAAGGGTGATGCTTGGGAGTACTTCTCACTGAGCATTTTACAATACATGTTGTACATGAAACCTCTGTTATGAAAATTAGATGCTGGAATGAAAATAAGCTTGCAATTTAAGCAGTTCAGATAATTGTCACTTTTATATGGTTGGCTATTTAAAGGAAATCAGCCTGAAATTTACTCAGATTTTGGATATTT